CTTATTTTCCTTTAAATATACTAACCCCTCGCCGTAAAACAAGTATAGTTTTTCCCAGAATGAAGATATAAGAATATACATAAATAAATAAATGTAATTATATCATTTCAATCATGCTTCACATAATCATAAACCTATGTATGCCATGCCACGATATAATAGAGTAAGCAAATCAGGTAAGAATAAATTCATAGAAATATAATATGTTAGCCGGAACCCCTGTAGTAGTCCGTACGGCTGAATTCATAGCTCAAAATCAATCTAGTCGAAGTCACTACAATGACCTATACAGTAACATACTGCACAAGAGTCGGAACCAAATGCAAAGGTCTGTACGACGATAATGGGTGTAATATAATTATGCTCAACACTCCCCTCACATAATAGCCGGGCGATAAATCGCTAGTCATATACGAGTCGGAACCATAAATAAGGTATGTACGACAATACTGTGCACCTAAATTGGATCCAATGTGAGCATATGATGCGGGAGGTGACATAATAAACAGGCATGTATCATATCTCTAGCTAAATCACAATCACCCTAGGTGTAGTTTTATGAGCTCAACATTATTCAATCACATATCACATCATTGACAATTCACATAATCAAAACAAAACTCACCTGAGCTTACCTGGGCCTCCACAGCACCATGCGACAATATGCATAATTATGATAATGCATATACTAAAATAAAATATAGGCATTGGCATAGCATGACATTTAAATCACATTTCCTTTCTATAAGTTTTCTGGGAAAAACGTCAAGTGTATATATATATACTGAAAATAACTGCTCACTCACAGATATGTCGATGGGTCGTAGCCCCCGAGCCTCAATTGATTACTCAAGTCCTGAGAATAGGTCTCACCTATAGGCGTAATAACCGAATAAACGTTATTTAACGCACATAACCAACAATAAGTAATAACTTCTCATATATTGCTCAATTTAGGTATATGAATATACCTACACAACCTCAGGATCATCCCCAAAATTTTAGAATATTTTTCCTAGCTCCCACGTGCCGCCACGCGCCGGCCAAGGCACGGCAAGACGCGCTCCCCACGCTCGGCCATGTGCCAGGCACACTGACGGTGTCAACTGACGTCGTCAGGTATATTCCAGAATATTCCGTTTATTCCTTAACAAAACTTAACGGCGTGACCTAACGGCGTTAGAATATTTCGTTAAACTTAACGGAATATCCTCTCGTCTTCTACCTTCAGCTCCGACGACCGTTGTCGTTGCCGAAAACTGGGAAATTTTCATTTCTTTATATCTTCTTCGTTTTTAACGCAAAATTTATGAAACTTGAACCATTTTAAAGATCTCACAAAGATGAACAAAACCATACCTGATTCGAGCTCTGAAACCACCGAAATCCCGTTGGAAAAAGCTTCGATAATCCAGCAAACCTTAAAACTCGTCGTTCTCACTATTTCGACGTCCAATTTCTTTAAACGAAGTACTCCAAGCTTCGTAAGGACCTCCTTAAGCTCCCTATGTCCTTTAAATTTCCTAAAAATCAACATTTTACGTGAGCATGAATAGTACCCCAAATCGGGTTTGTGGTTCGGCGTGAAATCGAAGGTAATCTTACCTGTAATTGGTACCTTTGAACTCGTGAGGACCTTAGGAACACAATGGTACCATTTTTCTTCTTCGATCTGTCACGTTTACAAGGGTTTCTGGTTGTGTCCGTATAAGAGAGGAAGAGAGGGAGAGTGTGAGTCTGAGATAGAGAGGGCACGAGAGTGAGAGAGAGAAAGTGAGGTGTAGTGTGTGGACCAAATCTCTCCAACCAATCAAAATTTAGTCTTTCTTAGTTCCTAAGTGGTTCCAAAAACTTAGGAAATCATAATTAAATCCAACTTAAATACAAGTCATACACCACACAACTTAACGTCCAAGGGTAAACTAGTAATTTCATGTCAACGGAAATTATTTTCCGGAATGAGCTGTCACATATATGGCAGGTTCTTCTTCTAAAAATAATTTTTATGTACGATGAGCACACTGTATCGAAGTCTCACAAAATTGGCAGTTGGTTTATAAGATGCTTAAGAGCCTAGATTATTAAGTTTAATTGACAAAAGAAGTTAATAATGTATTAGCAGTCGTTCTGTTTATGAAACCTAACGGTAGATGCTCGTTCCAGATTTTCAAGTTATTTCACCAAAATGCAATAAAAAGATTATAAAAAAAATAAAAAAAAATAAAAAAAAACATGATAGAGATTAACTTCCACACCATTAAAGTCATGCATGGCTAATAGCTCAATACCATTACTAGAAAAATGAGTGATGAGTTCAACAATGTTGTCAATGATGTTGCCCACCCCCTACCCCAACCATTTGAAAAACTGAACCATTCCCAACCAACCACTTGACCGACTCCCTCCAAACCATATACCGCCCAGATGTGGTTCTAAATCGAACAAAACCCATTTCAATTTGAAATTTTTTAAGAGGAATAAATGCCTTGGAATTGATGTCACGAAGGGTTATGCAACTGAAGGATTGGGATTGGGTGCTTTTGCATGCAAACGCCTTTAGTTTAGGTTTTTTTTGGTTTTTTTTTTTTTTCTTCTTTCTTGTCTGTTTATCATTAAATAAAGTTATATGATGGTTTTTGGTTAAAACTAAAAGTTTTGAAATCTTTTTCATTAGTTTTCCTTATTTTAATATGTCCATGCAATTACTCTGATACTAGGAGCCTTGCTAGTAGGGACGGGCAACGGATGGCACGGGACGGTAACGGGTTGACGACGCCATTATTACTGGCATAATAACCGCGGTTTCGCATACTTTTACATAGCGATAAGTTACCGGATAATGTTTACCGTAAGTTACCCTCATTGGAACATATAATTGCCTCCGGTTAACGTACCCATTGGGTATATTCCACGCCTAAACGGGTTATACGTTTACCATAACCGTTTACCCATTGGGTAATTGCCTAAACGGTTATACCCATACCCATAACCGTTATAAACGGTTAACCATACTCATAACCACATATCCATTTAACCGTAACCATTTAATACCCATTTACCCTTTTTAACCCGTTTATTTTTTTTTACCATTACCTCTTTTTCACTCGTCTACATGTTTTTTAACAACTTGAAAATAATAAAAATTTGTCATAATTTTCTTTTTTACCAATGTATACATTTCCGTATTTTAATTTTTTAAGTCCTTATACCATTCCAATAATTGAAATAATAGTTTATGGACAATATTTTTAATTGTTACCAATGAAGGTAAATATAACTGTAGACATCGAAATTTCGGTAAATAAATGTTGACCGATAAATCAAAGTGTCAACGCTCATGTATTGCATAAATTTTACACGTAGCATGTGACTCAACGAAAATTGAAATGAGTTGGAAAAGTCATCAAATAAGACACGTGTCAACACCTGGCAGAAACGACTTATTTCATCTGGGATATTATATTCAAAATTAGGTCTTGGAAAATTCTATAAATACAAGCCCATTTCATTCATTTGGGGGGACCAATTCATATTACACCTTGAAGCTCTGAAGCTCTGAAACTCCAAAGCTCTCAAGCATCCAGGTTCCCGAAGAATCAAGAAAGCCTTCTTCGTTCTTCGTTCATCGTTCTTCCAAGATCAAGCCCCAACGGCCATTTGGATCAACAATCATCCACCAATTCAAGATCAAGCCCCGACGGCCCTTGAAGAAAGCACCATTGTTCATCATCCGTTCATTCAAGATCAAGCCCCGACGACCCTTGAAGAAAGCACCATCGTTCATCATCCGTTCATCCAAGATCAAGCCCAACGGCCCTTTGGATCAACAACGTCGGCGAATCCACACACATCCAACCGTTCTTCAAGATCAAGCCCAAAAGCCCTTGAAGATCTGTTCATCACTGTTTCTTCCAAGCCCAAAAGCCATTGAAGATCCACTCATCACCACTGTTATTCAAGATCAAGCCTCAAACGGCCCTTGAAGAAACATTCATCCTCAAGATCAAGCCCCAACGGCTCCTTGAAGATCCGCTCAAATCCACCTTCAAAGATCAAGTCCACGGCCCTTTGAAGAAACTTCCAACAGTTCATCCAATATCAAGCCCCGACGGCCCTTGGATCAACGAAACATCCACAAATCAACACCTTACGGAGATCGAATCAGAGGATCAAAATAGAGAGAGATTGTAACCCAAAATCATCAAATACTTAATATTTGTTTGTGCGCGTTGTTCTTGTCTCTTTCGTTTCAGGAATTTTTCGTGTTCACAATAACATTTGCTAAGTATTATTGGGTTACAAAAATTGTTTAGAAGACATTTCTGTCAAAGCATTTCTGTCAATTTCACGGTTACCCACAAGGAATTTAAATTAATTTGGCGAATTCCTTGATGATGAGAATCATCATTCATGTAGCAACCGATGAATTCCTTACTAATTTATTGGGTGTCAAGTATTATTGGATCGAGAACATGGTTTGTGTTAGTTTTACATATATAAAATAAACGGGTAAACAGTTACCCGTTTATAACCACAGTTAATACTCATAACCGCCCATTTAAATTTCGCGGGTAAACGGTTATATCCATAACCGTTTATTTATCTAAACGGTTACCCATAACTGTAACCGTTTAATTTAAATTGGCGGGTAACCGCGGTTATCCATAATCAATGAGTATTTGCCCATCCCTACTTGCTAGGGACCATATATATGAGAACTTAGGGGTGACGTGCAGATTATATTGCATATTATTTTGATAAATGTAGATTATATTGTTTAGATAGTTGAAATCACAAGCTGATGGATCCCATCCAACAACCAATGTATACTAGCATCAATTGGTAGAGGAAGAAGGATGATGCTGACCTAATAACCTATACCTTGCTCGAGAGAGTTTAACAAGAAAATTTTTTTTACTCGTCTTCAACCTATTGTGTTTCAAATTCAAACACTTTCACTTCTTGAAATTTAACTTGCAATAAAGTAGTAATATCGCATGGAAAAAGAAAAAAAAACAACCATTTATCATTATAAAGAATTGCTGGGCAGGGGCTGCAAAATACTTGCACTTTAAATTTCAAAAAGTTGTAAATGGGAGCACGGGAATTAATTAAGAAATAGTATTTTGGAACATCATGGTTTTGAATTCCTGAAAGTCGAGCAGGCCGTCCAAGTTGGTGTCGAACACGCGAATCATGGTTCTACAGTCCCGGCTGCTATTCTCCTCCAAAACCCCTAATCTCCTCAGCACGCTCTCAAGCTCCTCGCTAGAAATGAAGCCATCGCCGTTCAAGTCAAACACACCGAATGCCTTCGCAAGGTCCTTCTCATCTTCATCTTCCTGACCATCAACACCGACATCCTCACGAATGTCACCGCCTTCATTTTCGCCACTGGCGTCACCTTGCTGCATGGATATGGACTTGTAGAAGAACAAGAACTCGTTGATGTCAAGGCTCGGTTTTCCCAAGAGGGACTCGAGCTCGTGCAGGCTGAATTGCACGCCGATTCTCTCGAGGAGCCAATTGAGCTCCTCGAGACTCACTTGCCCGTCTCCATTCTTGTCGAGATTTTCGAAAATACGGTGCAAGTCGTTGGTGCTTAGAGGACACATCATGTAGATTGTTGTCATGCAAAAAGACTAAAGAAATACAATACGAGTATTGAACTGAATGTTATGAAATATGAGAACCTCTGTGTAATGGCTATGTTTCAAGTCATTATATATATAGGGTTGGAATATTGGAAGTTCTATCGGTTGTCCTTGACTTGTACGGCTTGTATTTGTAGAGGAATTGGCACGAAGTTTCCTAACAACATGCATCTATATTATATGGTACACATATTCCATTACCTGTAGATTGTCAACTACTCCAACAAGTGGAATTGTATTATCTATGAGTTCTTTTATTTCATCTTCAAATTGGGCCTTCAAGAGGATATTAGTGCATTAGGACATATAGGATTCAGGTTAAATCACACGATAAATTGATAATAATTAGGTATTGAACTCGTTGTCCATAAAAATCAAATCTCAAATCTCCCATTAATTCATCTTATTCAACATACCATTAGAAACAAACCTACAAGTCAAGGAACATGTCCCAAATCATGGGTAGGGTCGTAGGGACCTTATTCATTTTGTTTTTGGTATGCAAATAGTGACCCTTTGTATTGTTTAATGTTTGTGTTATGTGAACGAGAAACGCGCGGCATCTATCTAGTTGAGAAGAAAATGCAATCATCTGGACGGTTATACTCGTGTATCATGTTGCTTCACAATATATTATTTTCAATAATTTTTTTTTTTTTGGGTCAGAATTTGTTCTTTTATTTAAAAAAAATATTAAGTAGATTTTCTGAAAAGTGAGACTTGATGAAGAGGAGACACATGGTTTTTGTGGTAGTTAGAGGTGAGCTAATCCGATCAGGCGGGCCCGAACTAAAAACTTCATAAAATAAGTTTGGAAACAAAAAAAAAAAACCAACTTATGATTTAAGTAATTAAAAACATTTGTTGTAAACTCAAAGATTTAAGAGCAATTTTCTCTTTCTTAATATTGCTTGTATTTGTATAAAATGCAGAAAAAGGACGAATTTTACAGACCACACCAATATAGGGTTCGCAGAAAAACCTAACGTGGCATCATAATTGAGCTACAATCCATAACCGCCCAAAGAAATATTTGTATAGAAAACAGAGGACTAAATGCCACCGATCGGTGACCATTCTAGAAACTCCCAAAATCTACCATTCGTTCTCAACGCGGTTATCACATTGTTACATGATATTATCAATCATCATATATAAAACCTGAATCAATAACACAACAGGGCGGTGTGACTTTAGACTCAAATATATTTTTCCCAAACAACCCAATTAGAAAGTTGGGTGACCATCTTAATAACAACGAGAATAAAAGAGGAGAGAAGACAAATTCTAGAACGGCACGAGGAGGGAGGTACGGAATTTAAGATTGGGAATCACGTAACCAACACAAAAACTAATTCAGGTCTTGCCAAAAACCACATTTAAAAAGAAAATCAAATAATAATTTTAACCAAATTAAAAGAAAATACATTATTTGTGGCCCTAACACGAATAACATAAAGACAGAAGCAGAAAAAAAAAAGAAAAAAAGAAAAAAAGAAAAGGCTTTCACCTGAAAGACCCAACGAATTCAGCTTAGAAGACGTTTCTTCACTTCTTCTCCAGCTCTTCAATCTTGTTGATTCTGAAGCCCCTTGTTCTCAGTTCCTCGGGTACCGACTGATCTTTGCAATCGGCGTGTTCGAGGACCCAACCCTTGTTTACGACCGAGCCCTCCACTTTTACCTGTCGAAAGGCAAAACTGTTGTAACAAAATATGGAATCACCCGCCCTTAAAGTATGCAACCTCCAACGTACTAAAACAACTTCCTTCTCTGTTAATTAAAATTCCCGTATTATGTTGCAAATGTTAATCCACCTATACGTACTGATGCCAAAAAGTGAAAATACGCGAGATGACTAAGGATCGAAGAAACTCCGAGGATGTGAATAGGGGTCCATAGTGAGAGTTGAGCTTTTGATCATCACAAACTTGAGTTGCAGAAAACAATAAAATTTGCAGAGTAGATCTTACGATATGGGAAGTTTGGGAAACTAGCATGGACTAGGAGATTTGCTAACGGTAATGATATTTTTGGCATGTTCGGATTAGATGCACCGGACGAGTTCATGATTTATCTATAGTTAGAACTTGCAAGTAATATATATTCTAAAAAGAACTAAAGTTTGCCAATTTGCAACTCTCATAGCAAAATTTTCCATTTTCGACATACCTCTGCGTCATCAACTGGGTCAATAACAAGCGCCCCATCCAAGGAGAGAGAATTGATAAAGACATTCCGGCCTTTGATTACCAATGTAGACCTCTGAGAAATTGAGCAGCTTCCACTGACTTTGCTTTTTATGTCTGTAAAAGTGATAGCCCATTTTGGCTTCCATGTGATACGAGGCCACACTTCTACTTCTTGGCCGTTGATCACCTGTTGTTCTGGATCAGATACTCCGATTCCGGCCTGGGAAGCATAAAAGTAAAACACAAAAATTCAGACTGTGACAGAGGGAGAGAGATAGTGATAAAGGCAGCTCAACATCTCCAGACCGGGTTTTCAGAAATCACAAAACATCCCTAAACTTTCCCTAGGTTATCTTGTAGCGACTGAATAAAAAAAGACAAAATAACAAAAATTTCAGACGAATTGGTGATTTGAGATTTTATCTCATGATGATTCAATTGGGGAGGGTCCCCTCTGTTGGGTTGTTGTGAAGGACAGGTTAATAATGGTTTTATCTTCTAAGGTGATTATAATCGTACACCGAGGATGATAGTATGGCCATAACTAAATTCTAAGTAGCATACTGGGCCCTCGGATCCCTGGGGAAGAAGATCAAATTGACTCTTATAAAAAGCTAATGCAGCATCCTCCGACTATTCCAGGCAAAGTCAGGCATAATTTATTCAGAAACATGTGGGTGTGGTTAACAACAAAAGAAAGCTTAGCATCACGGTGTTGAATTAAAATACTATCTTAATACAATTACCTTTCTGAGAATTAGGCTGTTCGCACGATAAACGAGCATTTCTCCAGAAGTTGCACTATGATATGGATTTCCCTTTGGTAACTTCAGTTAAATTCAAGCATAAAATTAGTAAGAAAATCAAACCAGCAACACCAAAGACCACAACCTGCTATGAGAAGAGGATGATATAGCACCATACTTTAAATTTTTTATTAAATTTGGCTGAGTTGTCATATGACATAAATGAAACACTGGAAATAACTCAAGGGGCACTAATTATACATACCTTAGCAGCATCCTCAGGGTTGTTCTTCACAGGTGCATAAGCAAGCCATGGTTCCATTACCTAAGCGTTAAGCAGTGACATGACAGCTTGTTATTTCATTTGACTCAATAGTGGCAATACTTAAAAAATTGAAAATTTGATAAGATGCCATGGGAAGAAGCTATTCCCTTTTTCAAGCGAGAGAGAGGGCTGAAGCTATTCGTCTTAATAAAAGACAGGACCCATCTTGCACAAGGGGAAAAAATGACCATGCATATAAAAAGGCTTAAAGGCATAATCTCAGGCCACAAGGATAATTACCGTGAATCCCACCCTAGCAGATGGAGGCAAAGTTTTTGGATAGTCTTGCATCATACACTCTAAACGAGTTGAGGACTTAAATGAAGTCTTGCTAGCATCTTTATATCTACAGCAACAAGGGAAATACCGGATACGATATTAGTGGAAAACAATTCTCACTATTCTCTTGTACTAGCAATCTAGCATGTACTTTTAGAGTAAGAGAAATGAAAAGTATATCATACATCTCAAGACAAAGATGGGAAAGGTATTTAGTTCTGGATTCTGGAGCAATAGTTCCATAGTGATTGAATTATAATGCTGAGTCTAACTTCTTATACAGCCCTATAATCCATAATCAATAGGATCTCATATTAAATATGCACATAAAATGTATTACTTTATTACCAAGGATAAATAGCGTCTCTTCTTGCATGGAAAATGGAGATTTGTTACTTAATCCAGGCTGTCCAAGGTGCGGCTTCCCCTTGAATTAGGGGCAGGCCACACACTACCCTGTGCAGAATTTATTATCCAGATTATCATCCGCCTTCTCCACTGATACAGAAATGGAGATGAGCAAGATCCTAATAACTAGACATTCTATAGGCCAAGTAATTAAAGACCAAACAGTCCTTTTCACACATGTGGATAACAGTTTCCCACACATATAAAACTTCCAGGCTCTGACTTATTTGACTAAGCCAGGCAATCAATTTTCAAGGTGAAGTATAGCTACACTACATGCTCAGCAGAGCCACCCAGGCTAATATTTTATACTACCATGCCCTAGTGACTGCAAGAACTAAAAGAAAAGTTCTCGAAAGTTATGAGAAACTTATAATCTCTTGAAAACAAGATTTATGCACAAAAATAACAAACCACAATACAGCCCCAGCAACAAAAAAATTAGAAGTCTAATCAAGGGAAGATTTACTTTGGATTAACAAACTCCTTTATGGCACCACCTGTTTTTGTGAGCTCCTCAATGTATGAACCAAGTTCCAAAATTAACTGCAATGAATAAATCAGCACAGAAGTTTCATTTGTAAGACAAATTTGGTCAGTATCAGTCTTACTCCAATTGTTGTGATATCAAAAAATATATTGAACTCAAGGACACATCCATTAAAAACATTAGTTGAAAATCACAACAATTTCTCATATTAATGTATATGGAAATTTCTATCTTTTATTAATTTATTGTTCATAGTATCTTTTTCCCACTTCTCGTTTACCAGTTCTTCATGCAGTATATTCAACAGCAACACTAATTATGTTGAGGATTGAATTATGATACCTCTCTCTAAGCTAAAACCATGAGCTTGATAAAACTACTGGTGGCTAGAAAGCATATTTATTTTTGGAAGGGGTGAAGGGGAGGAAGGAAAATTTGTGCCAGAAGATTACCTGGTTGATATTCCCCGGGAATGGAGAATAGCCAGTCTCATTATTGACATCACCATCAGGATATCCTGTTGCTCTAAGCAGAGGATCAAGCTGGTTGTACTCCACATTGATCACCATCGACCTCCCTGAAGCAAGTTTTGCGGTTGAAGACATTATGTGTCATGGTTTATAAAGAAACAAAGGACTGTGAGACTAAAGTTTCAGAAAGCATAACAGTGTAGATTGAAGATATCTACAATGCCATACTGACATATCCCCATCCGACAAATTCCTGCTACATGACATGTGATGTGAAAGACAAGTGACAAAAACCTTAATTTCTATTGTTTGGATATGGTAATGTCTCTATCATGAGAAGCAACAGGTGAACCAAGTCCTGATTTTCTATTTAGGTATAACAAAACTAAGAAGTTTGTGTATCCAAAAAGAAAAAGGAATCCCACAGAAAAAAATCAGCAACAATAGTTCATTCATCTTCAATATGGAAACAAGTTCATAAACCACTGGCTTAAATCCATAAGTAGGGAGTAAATTAAAAGTGAATTGGAAAAGATTGACTCAGAATACAGTCAAAGTCACTTGAAAAATCTTTCAGAGAATGACTGCCATCACAGGAGTTAAGCAATTCCAAACCTAAAAAGAGGTTATAATGATATATCTTATAGCATTTATAAGGACAAGGAACCGTGTTACATACCATCAGCATGAGTAAGTCCGGTAATTCCTCCAATCGCTTCTTTTGCTTTGCGCGGAACGGCTAGGGAATTAACATGGTATTCTCTGGTAGCACTGACACCCAAGGCCGCTGGGATTGCCTACAAAACAAGAGGCATAAGGAGATAGGCTTCTGACTGCACATCTGATAACAACCCCTCAAATTAGTAGAAAATGTAGACGAAACCGGCAAAGCAACTAACATTGAATAGAAGTCCATTTGTATCTTGGAAGAACAAAACCCATCTCAAACCAGCATCATGCCTGTAAAATGATAAAATACTATCATATATCATGAAAGTGAAGATTGTCAAGGCATATATAGAAAGGTCATACTTGCAGAACCTTTCAAGTTTCTAACAAGCAACTTCAGCCAAACTAAAGTTTGAAAATGAAATTAATATTTTAGAAGTAATGTAGCATTGTCTTTAATCTTTTATCTCATCAGGTAATCATCGGTCGGGGAATATTTCACGGCTTAAAAGTACGAAAGAACAGAATGTTTGCAAGAGGCTCAACCACTCCCCAGCCATTCTTTGAGCACACATAGAAGATCAATTACCATATATGTCATGACCTTACGAATCCAGAGGACCAATCAGCATTTACATTAAGTAAAACCATAGAAAGGAAGTTATACACACACAAACGGATTCCATAAATTAGGTAAATATTCAAGTGACATGACGTACCAAACTTTTAGAAGGCCACTTGAGTAGAGTAGCGAATGCACATCACCATGCCCATGAGGCTTGGTCTACCAAAAAGAGAAAGGAAAGAGAAACCAGACAAACTTAAAATTCATGGAAAAATCGATTACAAAGTTCTTAGATCTTTATTGACCCAACATATGGTAATTAATTAAAAATATAAGTAATTGTTACCTGAATCCTGTACTTGTTACGTGGGTCAACTGCAAGCCTGGCATCATTATCATCTAAGCATGCAACTTTTTCCTGCAACATTGTAGAGAAATTCATACACCATCTTCAATGAACTCTCTTCAGCAAAGCAGTAATGACCATTATGTACCTGCTTTAAAAGCTTGACTTGACTAGGTTCCATTCCAAAATATGAATTTGACTCCAAAAGCTCTAGTGTACGAGAATGTGTATCATCTGATGTCATTATAACAAAAGGAATTCGTGTTTGCCTTTCACCTACAAATTTTGGAAGATATATTAGCTATGATTGAGAAGACGAAAAACTTAACACAACAATCGCCTTCATAGTGAATTCTTAGACAAGGACCTAACGATAACTAACTGCCCTTCCTAATTAAAAACCCAACCACTCTGAACCCTATATCCTAAACCTTAACGCAAAGAGAGAAGGTTCAACTATAGAACCCTGTATCACTAGTCCGATAATGCTGCTCTCATACAAACTCTAGGTGGACATTGGATTTTGAAAAACTTGTATTTCATATTCAAAATATGCTAAAACATAGAAAAGGAAAAAGGACATCATAGCTTTTAAGGTAGCACTAGCATCCTACAAACTTTAACCACAAATCATGTGATACTTAGCCAGTAACAAACCTGATGCAAGTTTAGAGCTAGCATCTTGAAGAGCCAGAATTGATTCAATATAATACTGTAAAAAGCATGTTCCTGTGGTGATCTCTCTGGGAAGAGCCACCTGCACAATGTAAAACAATAGGGTAAACAAGTTTAATCAATAGGGATTACATTATCATACACATCAATAATTTGAAGTTTTTTGGAATGAGCAAGAAGGTACGCTTTCACATTAAGGCACTTGCATGGATCCACCAAGTAAGAATAATTGCATGCTAATTTAGCAGATAAAATGCCTGATATAATCATAGAAAATGCTCTAGTGTGGCCACAGACCAACAATGGCTAATGTTATGGAAATATTTGGTTGAGAAATATGTCCCCAAGATTAACTTACCAAACCTCGAGAATCCCATTGCCAAAGATAGATGAGAAATATAAAGAGCACCAACGAGCATATGATTCAGATAGCTAATCTAACCATGTAAAAAAGGAGGGGCTGCTTGACTAAGAAGACATTTGGTTCAGGAGGAAGATACAGCATTTAAAAATGCAAGTCAAGGAGAAGATACGTGAGGCTACATAGTGGGGTAATGAAGACAGTGAGGAGAGGACGGGTAAAGCCGTCAGCAATTATTGGTTTAAAATTATGATAAGTTGTCTTGAATCTTGATAGATGATATGCACTTGAAAATTTTGAAATTCATAGAAAACTAAGTGACCATGAAGGGTAGTAAATTATAAACCTTAATTCCATTGTATCCCAGGCGTTCCCCAAGCCCACCAGCAACAAGAACAAATACAGCTTTACGAGCTTCTTTAACACCTGACTCCTCAAAACTGATAAAGCTATCATCGCCAAAATTCAAGGACTCACCTGTTGGAACCTGAAAAGTCATTTCTCAAGTATCACTGTTTCAAGCTTTATATCGGTGAAAAATCATTAGATCATCAAATATTCTCAAAACAAAATTAATAGTACAGTGACATCAACTGAAGCCATATGGATGGATGGTTTTTATACAAATTATCCAGAATTATAAACTTTATCCAATATAGTACATGTTAATATGTTATCACATAATTTCTACACATTCACCAATATACACTTACCGAAGGTGTGAAACCATCAAATGGATTCTTTCCAGCTTTTGATTCAGCTAGGAGTTCTCTAGCTGTTTTGATATAAGATGCCAAACCCCCTGGATAACTTGAATTGAGCCGGCTCACCTGTAGCGAATTTGCAGTCAGACAAAAAGATAAAAGGGAAAGGAAAAAAAGAAGGCTTTCCACATAGACCGCCCTTCATAACATGACTTTAGAAAAGGATAAAAACCAAAGGAATTTCACAACTAATAATCATTTAGAACATGACAAGTGGCTAGCCGCGAGTTTAATTTCCCCAATTAAACTCTTAAAGTGTTTTTTTTCTTTTCATAAAACTATACTTATCACGGTGTTTTTTCAAATTTACTGAAGAAATATTTATCTAAGAACCCAATATCATAACAATATTATGCAGAAAATAATCCTTCAATGTTATTAAATTTCTCTTACGATATCTGTCACTCCAACTGATATTAAACAGTACCCAACCGTGACTTGGATCCAATCTCAGATCCGGGAAAGAAAAGAAAAATCTTTAGCAAATTGATACAAAAAAAACCACCAAACCTGATCGAAAAAAGCTTTCTTTTCCTCGTCGTCGACGCCAGGCTCCGCCCAATGCTCGAACAAATGACTCTGCCCCGTCTCCAAAAGGATCTTCGCCAACTCAATCTGCAACTCCACCAGCAGTTCCGATCAAACCCACATCAAAAAAAAAAAAAAAACAATCAAATTGTTCGCAGAAATCACAATTGCGTACTCACCTGTTCAGTGCTCAGAAGGTGGAGGTTCTTCTGCAGATTTGGCGCGGAACCGCCGATGTCGAGGCTGGCAAGCTTTTCGGTGGCGGAATCGAGCGCGGAGGCCATTGTTGCCGTGGCGCAGAGCGGAGATACGATTGCGGCGGTGGAAGGCCGCTGTGTGTTCGACGAAAGTCCGCAGGGAGAGTGATGAACAGTGGGAGGAATCTGGGGTTGTGGGGGAAGGTGCTGGTTGCGTACAGAGAAACGGAGTATGTGATATGAGTTAGGCGGTTAAATTGATGATGCGGGTCGCGAAAAACGTTAGTTAATTTCGGGCCCACTGTTTGCGTGGCGTGTCTGGCTGTGTGCTTTGTGGACGTGGGCGTCGGTTTCACGCCGTCGTTCTCGGCCGCCGGATTTGTTCAAAAATTTTTTGGTAAAAAGGATTTGTTCGAAATTTGATGGTTTGCTTTAGAAAGCACATTCTCGATGTGTCGTACAAAAGTATAGTTAGTTGATAAAATCGTCTTACTTTCCAAACCTGCTCTTAAATTATTTTATTTCGTTAGCCTATTTGCAATCGTGGGGCGTAAAAACGGTTTAACTTTTCACGATTAAAGTTGAGCTAACGTACTTATCATCTAGATTACGTAGTGTACTTTAATTCAAATGCAGATTATCTGAATGGGTGTGTACCAAAATTTCCTATGGTCAGAGACCAAACATTGAACTTGACAATGACTTAGCTAAGTTGGTAACCTCGGACATGGAAACAACAACCATTTATTAAAGTGAAGTGGAAGGTTCTCTCAATTCAACTTTGAAGATGGTCGATCTTTGTCTTCGTTACTTGCCAGTTGGTAATATTCTCCATCCATCCAATAAGCATATTCTTTAAGCATATCATCACCTAAGAATCTCTTCACTTCTCCTTAAAATAAAAACTAAAATAAAAAATTCATGAAAATCTTTTCAACTCTCCTTTACATTGTTTCAATGGTTATTTTGTCTCCCGCTTGAAGTTGCAACAAAGAATAATTCATGGATGGTGTAATTATAAAAAATTTTGGATCTCTCACACACCGTCTGTTAATTTATGTCTTTGGTGTTCTTCAATTATTTTAGATCTGACAACCGAAAATTAAGAGAAATATGTGAAAGGTAAAAAAAGGTGTGGATAATATCATTCTAATTCATTAGTTTTTCAATCACCAGTTGTCTGAAAGATGATAAGTGACGAATATCCATATACATAAATCTCCATGATTCTATGCTCACGTAGGATAAAAAATTGTTCCAAGCATATAATTGTACCTCTATATCTTATTCTCATCTTACATTTCTTTATCAACACAATTCTCCTCTAAATCGAGTTAAATATATGCTTTGATATCATACCTTTTCGGTTCGATTGGTTCTGTTCAGTTTGGACTCTTAACTCATTTGATTTTTTGGTTGGTGTTGCCCCATCATTACTTGAGGCTTAAGCCTAATAGTGCATGACCACATTGGTGCATATAGAAACTTTGAAAGTGCAAGTGAGACTAAGAGTGACAATGAGGTTAAAATTTTAGTACTAGTAAAAAATTAGCTTAATCATCAATACACGATTGACATCATATAATTCATTAAGTTTCGTATTTAAATTTATAAAATAGATAACTAAACAGGCACAAGCGAAAGCAAACATTTGGTATCTTATCAATCATCGCATACCATAATCTCATTCTCAATATTTGCTTCGCTATGTACTTCTTCGTTTAGAAAAAGTGAATGTACATTTTTCTGCTAAAAAAATTGTAATTAATAGTGGAATTTAAAAAGAAAATAGGGATTCTTTAGCCAAAAACAAAAAGACATCCTAAAATTGTGAGACATACATGTGTGTAATATTTTTGTAAGAATAATGTTAGAGAGATTAAATTTTTTAAATTAAATAATGTGGTTATTTGTCTCATCTCGGTCCGAGCCCCCATCACATCCCGAGCTCGACTTCGCCGTAGCACGATATTGTCCGTTTTGGGTCCTGACCACGCCCTCACGGTTTTGTTTATGGGAACTCACACAAGAACTTCCCAATGGGTCACCTATCATGGGAACACGAGAATTTCCCAATGGATCACCTATCATGGGAATGCTCTCGCCCGAAGCTAATGAGTTCCCAAAAGGGAACGTGCTAGGTAGAGATGAGAATATACATATAAGACTTACAAGATCCATTCCCCTGGGCGATGTGGGATGTTACAATTCACCCACCTTAGGGGCTCGACGTCCTCGTCGTCACATTTTCGGCCAATGATTGGCTCTGATACCAAATTGTCACAACCCCGCTTGGGCCCCCACCACATACCGGACTCAACTCCGCCGTGACACGATATTGTCTGCTTTGGGCACCAACCACACCCTCACGGTTTTGTTTTTGAGAACTTTCCAGTGGGTCACCTATCTTGGGAATGCTCTCGCCTGAACTCGTTTATCTTTGAAGTTCCGATGGAACCCGAAGCTACTGAGTTCCCAAAATACCTCGTACCAGGTAAATATGAGAATATACATATAAGGCTTACATGATCCACTCCCTGGACGATGTAGGATGTTAAATTATTGATGATTGAATTATTATTTAAGCGTTAATTAACGTGTTTATTTGCTATTAGTGACACGTTATATAATTTGTAAATTTGATTCAAACTTGTATCATATCTTTTTAGTAATAAAAAATAAAAATTGTGCAAGGGTCAGTCGAAGTGTTTTTGTCTGGTCAAGACTCAAGTGATCAGTCGAAAGTCAGTCCCCAAGGCTCAGGACACAAGTCTTTGCATCTCGTTTTGAGTTGTGTCTTCGGTTGTGTCGCCTCCTAGCCTTCTCTATCTGTTCACTCTTCGGCTTTCAAATTCTTCCAACGAGGTAAGAACCAACACCCCAACGATTTAACGATTTCATTATTCTGCATTTTTTTTTGAGGAATTATTCTGCCAATTTTAAAGTCTATTTTTATGTTTGTTTGAGTCTCACAGATGTTGGGTTTTCGTTAATTTTCTCAAAGAAAGTGTAAAAATTGGTTCTTGATTGGTTTTTCCTTTGTTTGTTTCCTGAGAAAACCCACGAAAATTCTGAAAGTCCTATACTTGCTTACTTAAGGTTTTTTGTTGGTGGGTTTTTTTTGTTCAAAGAAAGTGTAGGAATTGGGATCTTTCAGTGTTTTTTCTTTTCCTGCATTTTCTCAGGAACCAAACAGGGGTTCTCTCTTCCATTGACGTTAAAGAATTATAGGTCACAGACTCACAATTCATGTTCTGGTTTCTGCTTTAATGATTTTGATTTTCTTTTGGTTTGTTCTTGTTTTTTCTGCGTTTTCAGAAAACAGAAGCTTGGTAATGCAGAAATAGTTTGAGAGACAAAAGAGGGGTTTTTGTATTTGTGTGCTGGTAGCTGGTTGTTGCTAAATGGCGCCAACTACATTGATAAGAGAACTCAACAGTTTAAAGAAGGATTTTGAGGACGGTATGGGTAAGGGATCAGTGAGGCGGGGGAAGAGAGAGCGTGTGGCCGATAGGATATTTGAGCCCAATTCCTGCGGCAATGCCACCAAGAAAAGAAGAAAGTGCAGTACTCAAGTTGAAGAACTGATACCGGATGAGGATTATGAGACATTCTTGAGTTCTTTAGCTGATCATGGCAGTGATGTTGATTATATTGACAATAGATGGGTGGATGATCGGAATGGTGGTGATGACAATGTAAATGATAGGTCTGTGGATGATGGCGATCACAGCGTTGAGGTAAGGTGTTTGGATGATGGTGTTGATGGTGGTGATGATGAGGATCCTGATCATAAGATACTCTTGGATAAATTGACAAAAGGTGGAAAGTCCTTCACAAACAATAGGTCTGTGGATGATGGTTATGATGATGATGATGATGTCCATGTAAACAGTAGGTATGCGGATGATGGTGATGAAAACATTCAGTCTCTGGATGATAGTCTTGATGATGAGGATCCTCAGTATAAGATATTCTTGGAAAAGTTGAGGCAAGATGGAAAGTCTTATGTGTTGGAAGCTGTTGGAGATAATGGGAAATCTGTAGTGATCAAGTATGAACAAGAAAATGAGATACTTAACGGGCCCGATTTTGACACCCCTGAAACATTTAAAAAATCTCAGGTGAAAGAGAAGCCTGATATTCAAAGCACTTTAAGGAGGGGTACGAAGAGAAAATGCACAAATTGCCCTAAAAATTCTGCTCTTCCTGTGTATAAAGAAGTGACTGCGAGCCCAAGAACTGTTAAGTATGATATGAGGAAAGAAAACAGGGCAATTCTGGAAAAGAGCTCGATGAAGAAGAAGAAGAAGAAGAAGAAGAATGTAAATGAGAAAGCTGCAAATGGTAGCACACGGGAGTGTCCTTTGAAAACACCCCCTGTGGAGGCTGTTCATTTTACCATGCAAGGATGTGCAAATGAGAAAGCTGCTAAAGGTAGCACAAAGGAGTGCCCTGTAAAAAGAACTCATGTGGCGGATCTCTGGTTTGCCAAACAAGGATGCAAGCGCGGATTAGAAGATGAGGACTACGCAAAGCTTTTAAGTTGTCTACAGTTTGATGATGGGAAAATGGTATATTCACCTCCAAATGGTAGACCGGTGATACTTGGTGATGATGGAGAGAGTTCACCTCCAAATAGAAGTTTTACCTCATTTACAGCTGTATGTATCTTCCCCCGTTTCAGCTTTGGTTTGTTTTTTCTATTTTATGCTTTACATGCATACACATACACACGCACACAGAGACACATAACAGATGAGCATTTGTGCAAGTACATATACGTCTGTATGTGAGTGATTTTATTGATTCGTAGTATCTGAAATTTGTCTTTTGCTGGTTGTTGTCAATGCTTTGCAAATTAATAGGTGGATGCAGACAGTGGGCGGTGCGTTAAAACTCGTGATGCAAGTCATTCGCAGTTTAGGAAGGGGCTTATGGATATTCTTACCAGGCCTTATGACCATGAAGAGTACAGAAGCCTCTTGAAAGAAGCAACTCACCAAAAGCCATTAGAGCACAACAGAAATCTGCGCGGTAGAACAATAACCTGTCCAGTTGAGGGGAAACTTGCACGTTCATATCTAAAACAGCACATAGGTTGGTTTTCTTTATTATGCATGAGTAAAGGAGCATAGCATAATTTACTGTTATTTGTCGTTCAACATTTTTTTTTTCCTGTTTGTCTGAATTGAATTTTAAAACAAGATATAGATCAGCTAGAAGTTCTAAAGCTTAAATGATCAATTTGTTGAATGAAAGTAGGTTGAGATAATGTTTTATTGAGATTTGTGGCTGCCGATTCTCTCATATTTAGGAAGGATTTTGAATGTGACACCGCCTGTATTTGTGTTAGAACGGTTAGATGAACTGAAGCAGACATCGAGTCTATAATTTGTTCCTTACCAAAAGTACAAGGATTTAGATCCTTTTTCTTTATACTGTTTGTAACCTTTCAATTTGATTGTATTTTATTTTAATTAATTTGTTTTCAAACCTTACAGTTCTGAAAAGAAAGATTACGGCAGCTCGCGGTGACCGCCCTAGAGTTTTGAATCTCTTGCGGGGATTTTTCTACTGGCTGAAGGTTAGCTGTTTTTTGAGTTTTGTTGTATGATACTAGGGTTATCTTATTGCTAGTTAACATTTAGTCGAGCGATATACTGATTTCATTTTTGTTGGGATTGATCAGTTTTCGATACCTATATTGAAATAGACTTCTGTTTTAAGACTGGAGGTATTTCATTTGGTATCATGTACACTCCCGCACATGGTAAAAGCACATGTTGACATGCCTTTACATTGTTGTTTCTGTGTTGGTAAAATCACACGTTGGCATGCCTTTACATTGTTGTTTCTGTGATGGTGTATGACTTTTGCACGCCTTACTTTGCATGTGAGGGCCAGTGTTGCGTACATGTGCATCCCAGCTGATGGGTATTGGATTCACGTCTAGTAACGGTCTTCTAATTTCTGTAATTATTGTATATTTTTGCTAGAATGTGGCCCAAGATGAAAGCTTCTGTCCTTGGAACGACTCGTCCTGTTTGAAAGTGCTGCCACCATCTGATAAGAAGACTGGACTTACAGAAAGGGGACTTGAAGGCAAACGCAAGTAAGAGTTCATGCACCGTCTTCAGATTCCGATGGAAACAAGTTTGACGAGTGCATTGGTAAGATTTTAGTGTGAAGATAGTTAGGGTTTAAAATAGGCTGTGGTTTAGGAACTTTTCCCACTTTTGCAGTAGAAAATACTAACCATATGTTAAAATCGTATTCGACTCCCCCTCCCACCCTCCCTCCCTCCCTCCCTCCCTCAGATATATGCAAGGGAAGAAATTAACGTATCAGAATCGAATTAATATAAATATTCACCATCTGTTTACAGCCAGTGTGTTGAAATCTTATGACTGTTGTACATCTTGAGGTTGAATGTCATTGTTATTGAACATCATGCGAGGCTTGCCCATGCTGAAATTGAGGACTCTGGCATCCATGTTGTACTTTATTTCCCCATCGTATAGCAGCTTCCTTATGTAGTGCTCGATGTCCGATCCGATCAGACGGAGAGTGTACTCTGTCAATGGAGCTCCCTGATTTTTCACATAGAAATGGTAATGTCTCAACAAGAAACAAGACATTGAAACCCTAGTTACAACTTCAAATGTAAGAAACGTGGTCTTTCTGTACGGTTGAATTTAAGGCAAAGGAAAGAGGGATACGGTCCAACCTAATGTTTGTGATCACATTTACAACCTATAGCTAAAAAAAAAATTTACGGAAATCTTTGTTAGCTTGACATGCATTGTTGATCAATTTTTGTACGGTTTAAGTTATTGTCTTGATATCGTTTTGTGTGTTGATTCACTTTTGCGTTAACACAAACACGACACAGATATAAATGAGTAACCACACATCACACATTCCATGAATGAGCACCAAATGGATTTTCAATGGACTCAAAATCAAAGCTTCTCTTACCTCATAGTGATCCACAAGCTCTTGGAAGTAAGAGTAGACCTTGTTGCAGGACTCAGAAGTCCACACAAACTCATTGGTGGGGTCCAGAATAATAGTAAGCTTATCCATCTGAGTCTGGTCGAAGGCACATGTCTCTGGGTCAATGTAAGCTGCGTAGATCCTGACGTGCCTCGTGGCACTGCTCAGCCAATCCCCACCGTACTCCCTCCCCATGTTCTTGCTCTCCACGTTCACCTGCTTCTCCACCGGCCTCAGTGGTGTGCCTCCCGTTCCCAGCACTTTCTCTGTCCTCACACTCTCTCTCTCCTCCTCTGCTTTCTCTTGCGACTCTTGGACTTGTGACTGCTGAGCTGCTATGGAGAAATCCCTTCTTTTTTGGAGCTGTTTTTTGCCTCCAAAATAGCCCAAGAGTGGAAACTTTGCCATTGTTGCTGCCATGGCTGAATGCAAATAGGCTACGGGCCAAATTGTTCAATTTTTATATTATGTGGTTTAAGTGAAGAAATGATTTTGCTTTTGGGTGCTCCAACTTTTGCGAAATTGTGGGAGGCCCCAATGAAAATTGATCCACTTATTTGTGGGGATAAGATTTCTTGTTTTATACTTGGGAGCTTGAGTTGTTTGTGGTTAAAATAAACAGAAAATTAATAGCCATCAATTCATAAGTTGTAGCTAAAATGTTGACTTGCAGTAGCATAATTGCATATGATTTTATTGAGTTACAAAATAACGGCATTTTCGACACAGTCAAAAAAGTTATCATGCGGTATTTTTGTAAATGTTATCAGAGAAAAATTACATCTAAAAACTGTCCGAGAACTATTATGAAATTCCAATAACAGTTCCATCGCGCTAGAGCATAAGACTAAAAATAAATTCAGAAAACTCGGGTTCAAGGAAAACTTACACTGAAAACATAAATGCAATATTTTCTTATTAAAAACTTGATAGTGTTGCAAATGTACAGTATACAATTTAGTAGGGAGGAAAAAGCTAAAAGAAAAAAAAATCTCAATTCCCTAGATAAGAAAACAAATAAAAACCTATAACAAAAGTGCAGGCCGCCGGTACATCTGAGGACGATGGATTGGCTAGACCAGCCCCGGGTTTCCGGTAAGAACGGCGGATTCTCCTGCACCTGCTCTTTTATTTCCAGTATAATACTCTGTATGTGTTCCTATGCAATGGCGGTCATACTCGCCATTGCAGAATCAAAGTTAGGGAAAACAAAATTTACCTACAACAGACTAATTACTGCATACCATAGCTCGTCGCATGTTGTCCCCTCTTGAGCTGCGTCTGTCATGAAGCATTTGTCTTCAACCTTTCCAGTAAACGAATTGGTTTAATCAGCTCATCAAGATCATCTAATTCCAATTCCGACGAATCGCTGTCACAATATGCAGCTTGCTCCTGTATTGGATCATTAGTTTCTCCAACCTCCTCATCACTAACATCAATGCTAATGAAATCAGCGACTCCATCAACAATTATGTCATCGCTGTTCTGTGCAGACTGCTTTCCAGACACTGTTCTCGGTTCAGAAACAGTGATATCCTTGGAAACAAAGTAACGGCCCCAAGTATTTCTGTGTTCTCTTGATCGTTTTCTTTTCTTTTCCTTTGCTCGGTTTCTGGGGTGGTGAAGCTTGCATTTAGGCCCTCGTGGACAGGTTCCAGTAGCTTCAAAGGACGGGCAAACATAGCTATGCTTCTTCCGGCACTGTGAGGGAGATATATATTCTATTTTACTTGCTCCAAAACTAGTGTATCTTTGTTTGCTCAGAGAAGAGTTATCAAGCCTTACATATAAAATCTAGTATAACTGTATGACAAGCAGAAATTCTATTTGCACCCAGATTTTTACTCAACAGCCCGAACTATTTTCCACATTCCCCTAATTCAACAAATAATAGTTTTACTCACCACACCCCCTTTCCATAAATATGTTAATTAAATCTTTTGTTCACTATGTTCTTGAGTGTAAGCAGATCTCAATAATAATGTTATCAACGAAACTCTCTTTCTTGTTCAACATATTCAATGTCTACTTTATTGAAAGATAGGTCCAACTATAGTTAACTTTCTACTCTCCTTTTGATCTCAACCATTCCCCTTCCCATAATACACCAAACACGAGCAGTTTTTCATCTGGTATGTCCAAATTGATTGCCTACAAAATCAACATGCATGCCCACACACCACATACACAATTGAACTAAACAATTGGGCTCCGTACTAGCAAGAAAAACGAGTCCCAGACTTCCGAATTCAAACCAGCATAAAAAAAAAAACAAACACAAGCAAAAAAGCGTATATATGATAAGACAGTACCTCATTCCCGTCAGCACAATAGCCCTTAAGAAATCCTTCACAAGTAGATGCCTTTGGATTCACATTCACATGTCTGTAAGGACAATTTTGATTGGAGCATAAACCTGCCAGGAAGCATGTCAGAATTTTCTAATTCCATTAGTAGCTTGACTAGAACAATGTTACCAGAAAGCACCTTGCAAATAGTAAGAACAGTCCGGCATTCTTTCAGGAATGACCTGCATGAAGATAAAATATAAATAAAGAAATAAAAAGAAAGGATAAAATGTCCAAAAAGAAGTACAAAGTTCTGTTGTAGATCATGTGAAGTCCTGTCACACGGTAAACCTGATGAGTCAATTTGCAATTGGGATTGGAACATAAACCCTTCAAAAACTTTGTGCAGACTGCAACTTTAGAGGAGTCATGGATATAGGGACATTTTCCATCATCCTTATTGCACTTCCCAAATCTTGTAAAAAACTGGCAGTACTTCCGCTTTTTTGCCAGCCGAAGTCTGGCCGTGTGCAAACTCCATCGAACTCTTTCACTAGCCAATATGCGAGTTCTCTTCTTCGGATTTCTAATAAGCTGGTTACCATTGCCAATCCGCAAATATCTGCCAATATGGAAATGCATTTATATCCAAGAATTTTAAAACTTAAGAACAATGCAACCATAATTTGGAGGTTCGTGTGTCAACACCATCAATTGGCATTCACATTTGCTTGTATTAATTTCAGGAATCTATCTTTAAGCCATAAACAACAGCAACTTACTCATCATTGCCAATCACCAGTCTCTTTGGAACATAAGATCTCTTGGGATCCTTTTCAGGATCGAGCACACCAGAGCTTGACGATTCGTCATCTACACAGAACATGAATGAAAACTGTACGATCAATTTGCTGATAAGATGTACCCCACATATGCCAAAATATTTATAAAAAAAAAAAAAAATCCTCCAAAACTGAAAAACACTCATTAATCACCTCATAATACTTCTTTGGAATTGGAATATACGGCTATATGTGATTCAACACGAATAGAAAAGACAGTGTCCAGTGTGCTGGCAACTGCTCATAAACTATATAATTAATATGCTAAAAGAATGTCCAAAACGATACTGACAGAAATCAGCAATTCTGTTTCTATCGTATGGGCCTTTCATCCCCTTTGTTTACCAAAATACAAATCAGTAGTTCTGAAATTAGTCAGAAATCAGAGGCACTTCCTGAGCCCAAGATAATGGTTCCAAATCACAAGGATATAAAAAAAAACTCTTCCCAATCACTCCAAAACTAGATATGACGGTCTACTCGTAAGAGAAAGAAAGGTTGAAACTTAAGAACATGTGGTGACCACATCCAATGGCCAGAAGAAATTGAAAATCAAGCTCCTAATGTATAAGCATTAAAAAAGTATACACTAAAGCTCATGTTGAAAAGGACATTTGATATGTGGAGCAAATAAAGAGCAGCCCACCTGAAATCCTTTTTAGTGTTCGCCTTGAAGGATCCATTTTGTACCGGACAGAACCAATGCGAAATATACGTTTTCCTGCCATATCATCAGATACTTAATAATCAAGCAACATACCATGTGGAAACACATTGAAGGTATACCACAAGCAAGAAATGTCATGCATCTGACACATCAGATAGCTCTACATTTTCACTACACTATGAATTGACTTACCTGACAAATTACTTCTAAACTTAGACCCCAACTAATGCATGCAGCACCATTGTGTTCTCTTTTCTTCTTCTCCACTGCAGCAACAGCACGTGTAGCTTCCTAGACATTGTTAATAGAAACAATTGAGGTGGATAGGGACAGAGCAGTTTCTGATTTGGAAACCATTACTTCACTTTAATAAAAAAGGGATCATCTTTGAAGGAGAAATAATAGCCTGACTGGGTACTAGCCAACAAACCTCATTAGCTTCCTTTGATTGCCTTTCAAGGGATTTTGACCATTTTAAACTGGCCCCACCAACACTTAATACCTTGTACATTTTAAGCGAAAATCCATGAGTTGACTTAGTGTACAAAGTATCCCGCCTTCTTGACAGCAGCAGTTTCTTACTGAAAAATGAAATAATATTTGATTTTCTTAAGTAACATACACAAATGTGTTCAAATCTAATTGCCTCTTCAAAACAAGAAAAGAATCGAATACCTGATTGTGGGTACGGAACTATATTTGAAACTGGAAGCCTGACTTTGCATGAAAGTCCTCCAGTGTCTTGCTCTTTTCCATGGAAACAGGTAAGGCACTACCTGATGGTTAAGTGAACCACCATCATTGTTTGATGACTGTGTACCATGCGGTGTCCACACCAAAGAGTTTTTTCCAATTTTACTTGTCTTTGCAACAGCTGTACGAGAAAACCAAGGTAATAAGATTCTAAAACACTGAAGAGTTTCAACAAAAAAAGGATCAAATCTGTACAATGATATCATCATTGAAATATGAAATGAGCTTAAGTTGGAAAAGGTTACAGATCAGAGCTTCAATACGTCTAAAAGATGAAGAAAAGGACAACATCCAGGAAATAGAAGAACCCTGATGCTAACAGTTAGCAGTAATCAATAAATGGAACTGAACAAATCCACTTTTGCCTTGATCCAGAAAATGCATTTCAGAATTTAGGTGTAAGTGTAAAAAAATACTGCTTAGAGAACACGTAACAGAACAAGTTCTAACAGCATACCCTTGTGTGATCGTTTCTTGCCATATGTTCTTCTGGGGACAATCTTAGGAACCCTTTGCAGCTGTAAGTTTAAATTGTCATCAGGCATGATAGCATGACCTTCCAAGGATGTCCTGATTAGCTGATTTTTGCGCCTCTTGTAGTAACCATCAGAGGAGTGCTGGATCTTATCAGTACTGTGGACCGGAAGGTCACAAGGATTTGAAGTTGCAACCAACTGATTTAACGTGCACTTTCCATTTACAATCTTCTTGGTATTTGGAGGTGCCAAATTCTCATCATGCAGTACATTCTGGTTTTCCAAATTATTGAGCGAACCACTGTGATTTTCCTGAGTTTCAGAAATTGTCAGTGAGTCCTTGGCAAATGTTTGTGCATCTTTGGTGTCCAAAGAATTCATAGGATCTAACTTGGTTTCACCACTAAGAGGCTCAGACACTGGGGATGATGCACGAACCCCGAAAGAGATGGCAGGACAAGTAGATAATATGGGTGCCAAAGGTAGTTGGGGTGTCGGCCTATCAAAAGGAGCATTCATTTCTCCAGTTCTCATGAGACTTGGAGGCATTTTCACATCAATCCTACTGTCAGATCCTGCATTCTTCTTCAAACCATCTATACCTGAAGAGTTCAACTGATAAACAGCTGAACTAAACCCATGGGAGCTTTGCAGAGCAGCGACTGGAGGTTTTCTAACAAGGCTGTTACCTTTACGCACATACGAATTACTTTGAAATTTTCCATTCCTTTGTGGCAACTGCCTTTGGGGTGGAACAGTACTAGATAAAGGCATGCTTACAGGAAGAGGAGATGAAGATGAATTACCATTTCGATGCCAAGTCCGAGGCTTTGCAATATGAGTTGAAGAGGCAGTCTTCATTGAGGTAGAAGAGACCGAATATGAACGACCTGGCACAATCCCACGAGTGGCTTGACCCAGCTGGTTCTTCAAACCAGATTCTGTGCTTACTAGATTCGAACCATGAGTTGCCTTTTTGATATTTTGCAAAGGTAAAGCTACTGACTTCCCCATCACTGATTTGGTACCACCTGATGATGAATTTTGAGCAGATGCATTGGAACCACCTTCAACCACAGACTTCAAATCCAATTGCTGGTCCCCACCAGCTTTTTCATCAGAAATTTTGATAACTGATGGACTACAAGGTAGCATCTGCAAGTAAGGGACATCAGTTGAAGTTTCTGGAGAACCCTTATCTGATACTGTATCATGCACAAACTCCGTTCCTTCATCATTAGAGTTAGTAGTAGATACTTCATTGTTATTGGCACATAACAACAGATAATTTGACGCAATGGGCAATTTCTCCTTCACAGAGACATAATTTGATTCCATATCTGTGCAGGAAAATTTATTGCTTGAGTCTGGAGGCTGGACTTCTGAAGAAACGCTGCATGAAGCAGTCTCGCCTTGCATCATAACTTGCTCAGCTGTTGAAAATATACCAAAATTTTCTTCTAGGTTACTTTCTACGTCCATAATGTCAAGCTGAGGGCTATTTACAACCAGAGCTTGAGTGCTAGCCTCTTTCTGTTCATTCCTCGATGGTGAGGGACAAAGGAACGATGTATCCGGAACTGATTCTTCATAAATTGTACATGATTCAACACCTTGGTGCTCAAAGTTCATACCATCATTAGTAAGGGCATCCCTAGCTGCAGATACAGCCGCTAAATCATCCACAAATAATACAGTGCTTCCCTCTTGAGAAGGAATTAAATTAGCATTAGCAGAGAGAAAACCTATGCTGGAAGCAGTAACTTCATCTTCTTGTGTTGGATCATCGTTAGTCCAAGGTGCTTCTGCATAAGATGTAGACTTATCTGCAGGTCCATCATTGGTTTGAGAGGTAGTCCCTACCAGATGAGAGGTGGATACTTTTCTCCTCTTTATATACTTCAGAGAAGTCTCATCAGGATCAGAGTTAACATCACTTCTAGCTGATAACTTAGCCTCACAAATCCCATCTAGTGAGCTGTTCCCACGCAGAACACTGACCCCGTCATTATCAGGTTGAGAGCCAATATCTAACTTTTCAACACCAGAAACAGCAACTTCTGCATGACTAGCATCCTTCAGGGATGAACTTACTGCCGTATCCACAGAATTTTCATGGGCAGAAACATTTTTAGGCTCTACAATAGTGTTGGAGGCCCTTGAAGAGTCTAACAGAGTCCTAAATTTTCTCTTCTTTTTAATCTTGAATGTAACACTCTTCCGATCTCCAACTGAATTTGCAATCTTTGAAGATCTTTCGGTGCCACAACTAACAAATAATCTGGAGGCACCATCTGCAGATGCTTGCGTGCCGACAAAATCGGCATTCCCACCATTAGGAACAATAATATTCTCATCATAATTAGTACTAACTTTGTCAGAGTTCCACGTGGTACCTCTACCATCATCGGAGCAGACAGCAAAGGTCTTCCCCGAACTTGATAAACCAACAGTTATGCTGCTTTCTGCTGCAGATATAGCCTTTGGAAGTTCTTCCACAGAACCAATTTGTAGTGATGTTGGGAGCTGATGTGTACAAGGTTGCTCGCTGATGGCATCCACATTACCAATGTTATGAACCATGACTTCTTGATAAGATACTTTTATACCACCATCAATATCCAAGTTGGTTTCTGCACCATGGCCAGAGCCATTTACATTCATAATGTCTCCATGCATCATAGTTTTCTCTGAACTTAAAAAACCAGAATTGGCATTGCCTTCTACAGACAATCTGGGCTCTGATGATTCTGTTCGTATGACATTATCAAGCGATAAACTGTCTCCACTCTGACATATCTGTTTGCTGACATCTACAACGCAACCAGTTTCTGGACAAGTAGCTACCCTAAGTGAATCAGTTACATTGTTGGTAAAATTTGAACTCTTAAGCAAGCCCTGGACAGAAGCATCTACAGTTAGACAACCCTGATCAATATTAATTTCTTCACAACTTGAAGAACCCAAATTACAAGTTGAAGTTTTCCCAGTGCTCTTACTACAAGAGTTGGCATCAGTGCCATGTTCATCCGATACCATGCTCGGTGAAGAGGTTTCACCCTTTTCAGTCCCAAAGGCTGCAGATGGGCTACAAATATAGCTATCTGCTGCCCGTGGTTCATCAATCTTCTTTTTTGGCTGTGGACGAGGGTTTACGACCTTTTTCACTACTTTCTTCACCACTTTTTTCTTCTTAGTAACCTTAAGAGAAGACATTTGAGCAGAAACACCCTTTTTACCATCTCTTTGTAAAACCTTACCCTTTGTGTTACCCTTTGTAACCCTTTCCACTTCACTCTTTCCAGAAGAATCACCATTCACATTAGAACCGGGCTGTTCGATATCACACCTATTCTCCATACCAGAAGTGTTCACCTCCTCTTCCAACTGTCGTGGGTCCTTGTCTGAACTGGATGTCTTATTTGCAACAACTATGGAGCTTCGCAAACGTACAGGTGCAGCATTCTCACTGTCTCTACTGAGTTTCAAATTTGAGAAATCCCTGCCATACACTGAATCTGTCTTAACATCCCTATTTCCAACTGCCTTCGCCACTAGTGAATTCGATTTAAAAGAAACATCAAGTTCCAAAGAATTCGCACCTTTCTCAACTTCACCCATCTCGCGACCCGAATACTCATAGTATCCTTTCCCTCTGTGGGAACTAGAGCCAGAATTATCAAAATAAGCAGAGCCATTCCGGTGACTAGGTTTCACAGTTTGAAGCCTGAGTAAAACACTCTTCTTTTGTATCTGCTTCCTCCTATTACTAGTACCACTCCCTCTTTCAGATTCTGAACCATAATAATCCCGTTTCGCCAAAACATTCCGGCCCCTGTTACCCTCATCGAACACGAATGGATCATATAACTCTCTAGTAGCTTCTCTATCATTATGAACCCATCTCTGATTATTCTCATACACCTCATCTCTCCTACCACCACTCCTCAACTCATCATACCGGCCATCATAACCACCCGAATTCGAATCCAAATGACTATTCAAATTCTGGCTTGACGCAAACCCCAATTCGCGATACTTTCCATCGGAACTGGGTTCTGCACGAGCACGGCGGCGACTGTTATAATCGTCGTCCACGGGGGCCCGATGTTCCCGGAGCAGCTGTTCATTGTAGTCAGCCCTAAACCTAGCGCTACCACTACCCTCTGATTCAACCCTAAATTGGGGTTTATGCAATTCACGATCGTAATCGTGAAAAGCCCTTGAAGAATCCCAAGAAACGGGATTGGATTCGACGTAGGGCGATTCAAATTGGAGCAATCGGTGGTGGCGAGGGCGCTCCGAATGGGCGACCCGAGGGGAGGAGACGGGGTAGTCGTGAAGGGGGAGGAAGGTTCTGGAGCGTTCGGGTTCGAAGGTGAGTTGGGGCTGGTTGGGGTTGTAAGGATGTGGGGGGGGCGGGGGCGGGGGCAGGGGCGGTGGGGGGAGAGAGTTATACGGCGACGTTTGGGGCGGTGGTGGAGGGGGTGGAGGTTGGAGGAGTTGCTGTGGTGGTGGTGGTTGTTGTGAGTGGTGGTGGTGTGTGTAGTGGTGGTTGGTGTTGTGGTGGCGGTGAGAGTAGTTTGGGAAATTTGAAGGGTTGTCGGAAGGGTAGGGATTGGAAGAAGAAGAAGAAGCGTACCTTGTGAGGTGGTGGGGATACTGAGAGGGATCCATCGACGGCGTATCTTTCGTTTCTTTGGTTTCTTCTCTGATCCTCTTCTTCTTGCTTCTTATGCGACTTTGTGCTTCGCCTTTCGTTTGAAATTTCAATCAAATCCAATCCAGTCACCTCGCTTTGTTTTTTTCTTTTTGATTTTTTGGTGGGCAGTTTCTTGCGTTCACACTTTCAAACCGATAGAGTGTGTTATATGTCTTTGACAGTTTTTAAAGCAACACGACATGTCGCACCATTCAACCCAATCGAATTGGTTTTCTGCGCCACGTAAGCAAAACGTGGCTCCTAGGGAGGCACCAGGATCCTCGCCGGATCCATTCCTAGGGATCCTAGTAATCCTGCAATCATGTCCGTTCATTATATATCATGCGGTCAGTATTCGTTAGATACTATTTACATTTGAATTTTAAGTTTTAAATTTTAAATGATTAACGAAAACTGACCGCATGATATACGATGCGGGATGGGAATGGATCCGACGAGAATCTTGGTCCCCTAGGGAGTACATAAGGCAACTTGGGATCCCCGGATCTAAACTACTTTTTTTTATTTTTTATCAAACAATAAATTTTCTTAAATTAAATGTGAGTTTAACCATTAACAGAATTCAAACTCACGTCATCATGCAAAAGCTTACTCCTAATAGAATCATGTTTGTCAACTAAAACTTTATAAAATTATTATTCTAACCTCTAATTACAACTAAACAAAAATATTTAAAATGGGCAATTTAGTAATTACATGCAACATAAATTTTACTGTTTTTCAGGCCAACCTCACAACTATATAAGCATAGCATGTCCTAATTCATAATCTAAAAATTAAATAAACAAAAATAAAATACGTCCACATAAGAAAGTGCCTCATCATTGTCCCATTTTTCATGTTGAATTTTAAAAACTATTCACACTCCGTAATAAAAGCAAAAAACTGCATCATCGGTTAGTAATTTAGTAATAAAATATTTTTCTTAACACGCTTTGGACCATATTTTAAGAGTGGTGTTATCCACATATTTCATTTTCCTTTCCACACACCCCATGTTAATTTATGTATTTAAATCCTTCAAATTCATTCAATTCGTGATTAAAAATTGGAAGATATGTGTGACTAGCATCATCTATTTAATAAAAATGAAAAAGTATTAGATATACCTTACCTATTTTGCCTTGTCCAGTAGACATCTTAATTAGGTAAATGAACCAGGCAAAATGTCATATCTCCAAATTACAATTTTGCCTCAAACAATTGCCTAATTCTTTAGAGATGCTCTGCAACCTGGTGAACCCCATGATTTATAACCGTCACATTAATCTCTTTACCCTAGCCATGTTTAGAATTTGGAACGCTCTCCGTTCTTCTTCCCAAGTTGCTGAAAGAAAGGAGGCCTAGGAGTCACGAAAGAGTGGAAGGCAGGCTACCCACCCACCTCAAGCCGGAACCAAGGGCCGACGGCCAGGAAGCTTTCAAAATTAGGGTTTTGGGGAAAGAAGAGATGGGCACGGGGCTCTAGAGAGAAAGGGTATAAATTGCCACCAACCAACACTTTCTTTCGGTAATCACGAGGTGGTGGCTCAATAGTAAATGACGGATTACAATATTTTCTTAAAAATTAAAAATTAGAGGTCTCGGGTTCAAAACCCATTGCTGATGTGGAAGCCAAACTTGTGGCCAGGAGAGATTGAAATGCCTCTGTGAGACTTTTTGATCCTCGAAACGGTGGATAATCGTAACTTGCTTGTTTTCTTTCTAAAAAAAAAATTAAAAAAAATATTTTCTATCAGTCCAAAGTTTTTCCTAGCTACCTGCCAAATCTTTTAGAGTAAAGTAACCATGAAATGACAAACATAAATATTGTAACACAGTCACGTTACATAACTTTTCACTCGTGTTTTAACATATATTGATTTGCTTGGATTTTTTGTTGTCTCATTTGGTGCCTATTATTTGATTGGAATTTCTCAGCTAGCCAAATAGTTACTGAGGTGGTGGTAAAACTATTTGCCAAAGACATTTCTCTCTACTTTAGCTTAGGAATAGTACTCTCATCCAGCTACATTTGGTACTCACAACCCAAAAGGGACAACCATGGTACATTCATCCTTTATTTCACCCATAAAATCTTGCTGTGAAAGTTATGGATGTTGTGGAAATGACCAAAATGGGTTTTGAGGTGTCGGTGACTAGTTAATTTGGCCACCAGAATTTTGGTCCATAGGAGTGGTGGTGGTTCTTCTGTTGTAGCTTTTGAGTTGTTGGGAGACCCTCATGACTTTTAGGGGCATAAAGAAAGATTTAGCACCATGTGATTTGTGGTCCTGTGGAAAATAATCTAACAACACAGTATGGTCCACTAATTTTATTACCAAGTTGGAGGGAGGATAATGACTTCCATTTGCATTTGCCCTTTTTTTAATTTTGAGCATGTTGTGTGCATAGGTACTCAAAAGTAGAAAAACTAAAGTATCTTCCATTGCATTCCCCTTCTCTCTCTTTATCTTTTGGTGATGAAAGAAACAAAATAGAGAATCTGATTTATTACTAGTTGCATACAATCATGCGTTTATCTTTCTCGTCAGGCGATGAGAAAAATGAAAACACAATCTTAAGGATCACTCGAGAAAGAGAAAAAGGGTATGCAACGGTTTCATTTTCTCCTTTAGCCGTATGCTTAGACTTGTACATAGTGAAAATGAAAATCAACATTTTCTTTGGAGACAAGACATAAAGAGAATATGTGTCAATCTTTCTCAATCACATAATGACACATGATAAGAGACATGGAAAGGTTTACAACCGGCCCAAGAAGACCTTGATACATAAAAAATAGGGTATGCAACAGTTTCACGTAAGTTTTCCTCATATTTAGACTTGAGCTCACTCAGAGGAAAATGAAAATCAACCAGAATTACAACATATTCATCTTTGAACATTACAACAGTCCCAACTCTTGGTCTGATTGAGACCAACAAGTAAGCTGAAAAAAAAAACCAACCAGGAAAACCAGTCCAACAAATAAGGACCACTTTACGACTGCTAGGGAAGGAGGAGGGCACAAACACAAACAACCTCTCATCCTAAACCCATCCATAACTATAACCCAAACACTCACGCAACATGTCAAAGCTGTTGTTTTCTTACCTTTCTTATTTTCTCGGTGGGGATTAATATACAAATGAATCGCACAAATGGGAGAGTGCAATTACTAGCATTGTTGTGCTTGTGAATTTGTTAGTCGAAGCTCGACGAGCGGCTCCACCGCCCTTTCAGGTAGTCCTCTAAGGAGACAGTTTGCTCAATGCTGCTCATGGAGAGTGAGTCATCCTCCACATCAAGCAGTGCAAGGTTAAGGTGAGACTGCAGATTTGAACGTGGACACGTTTCGTTTTCGAGCACATCAGATTCCTCCATGGCATGAACTTGCAGCCTGGACCACTTAGTCACATCTGCATCGCCTTGAAGAAGCTTCACGATCTGTGCTCAAAAGGACAGATAGAATCTTGTCAATATTAATTCAGAGATTTTTGTTTCATGCTATAAACTGATGGGAGGATACTCAAGAGGGATCGGATCCAGCTTACAAAGCTCATCTGGGGCCTAGCTCGTGAAGCATGTCTGATACAAAGAGTGGCTGCTAAAACCATTCTCTCTATCTGGCCCTGGTCATAGTTATCGCCCAAACACGGATCTAATAGTTGGGACACCTTCCCACTGTTTAGAATTGGCTTGGCCTGTACAAGACGTTTCACTAATTCAATTTCTTCCAAGAGACAAACATCAAGAGGTGCATGGAGTACTGCTAAACATTAGGGGAGAAGAGGACATACCCACATGACTAGGCTCTCATGGCCTTTTGGATGGTCACTGCTTATAGGCTTTCTTCCTGAAAGAAGCTCGAGGAGTACAACACCAAATGCATACACGTCAATTTTGTCGTTTACTTTGCCATACATGAAGTATTCAGGAGCCAAATAGCTGCAGAAAATGCAATAGTGTTATTAATTAATCAACATCTCATATTTCCATGGTTTCTTAAAAAAGAATTTCAATTTGGAAATTTTATTCATCTTATAGAAAAACAGAAGTCTTGACTCTTTAGAAAGACGATGAAAGGTAAAGCTATGAGATTAAGTAACGAACCCAAAGGTGCCTGCAACATCAGTGCATGTTATATGCGAAGATGAGGTTGATGCCCATTTTGCTAGTCCAAAATCAGAGAGCTGAAAACCCATTTCAAGATACTATTAAAACTGACAATTCGATAAACAAATGCATCTTTAAAAGCAACAAACCGACCAGATGTATACCTGCGGCTCAAAATCATCAGATAGTAGAATATTGGATGATTTGACATCCCTGTGGATTACAGGTTGTGCACTGCCGGTGTGCAGATAATCCAAGGCCTCAGCTACCCCCACGGCCACCTTATATCTCTCGTTCCAACCAAATGCAAGGGGATCCTTCTTAGTTCCTGATTTGGAAAAAATCAAAAAAGTTGTAATTACGTTAGAATTCAAACAAAAATACAGGGTAAGTAAACATTTATTGTTCTTCGTTGTAATGTTTAAAACCCAGAGAAATATAGTATATACCATGGAGATTCTCTTCAAGGCTTCCTCTTGATAAGAAATCATAAACCAAGAGAAGATTGTTATCCTCAAAACAGAACCCCAGAAGGGAAATAATGTTCTTGTGATTTAAGGTAGTAATGATCTCTATTTCCAAAACAAACTCCTTCAACACATCTTCGGATGGTTTTAAGATTTTCACAGCGAGTTCCTTGCCATCAGGAAGGCAGCCTCTATAAACTTGACTGCTACCGCCTCTCCCGATGAAGTTTTCTGGGATTACAAAGGAAAATATATTTTTGAAAGAAAATTCAATAGAAATCGGGAAAATGAATAGGATATCTGACATATGAACTTCGTGAACAGCATACCGGCCAAGAAGTATGATGTAGCTGACTGAAGTTCCTGGTAGTTGAACAATCTGCAAGTAGCAGAGTACTTTTCATGCAGTCCCTCCAATTCTTTAGGCAGGCTTTTTGAATTGTAGTCCGGTGAAGGTGGGGCAGTCATTGCCTCACCACCCACCGCAACAATTGCGCCACTTTCTCCATTCAAACAGGAAGGTTGATCTGAATCACAACTATTTTTCCCTTCATCGAAATTGCTGGCAGTTGAATGCTGTCTACTGGGCAACTGCATTGCCCACTGAACTACTGAGATCTTCCGGATCCAAGACCTCTCTGGAGATTGTCGGTCTGGTAATACAGCCCGTCGAA